TGAGGTCCAACGGATGGAAGTTATCTTTTTTAAGTTCCTATCTTTTCTAACGGATCCAAGATAAAGAGCCATCTTTGGGGCTTTTTATCTTTTGGTTAATTTCAAAGTTTATCTTATTTTAACAATGCCCCCAGCTTGCCTAATAGACGCACCTGGTACATCTAAGAGACAAGCTGGGGGCAAATTGTTGTGCCTAAATTATTGCAACATGTTCATGTGTCTGCAGGTTGCTAGGTTGCAGGTTTACAAATTGCTCCGAAGTTAATGACCTGGTTTAAAGAAGTCAAAGGAAGTTAAATGAAGGTCTTTTCAAGGAATATTCCAAGAGAATCCTAGTTTGAATAAGTCAAAAGGAGTGCCAAGAGAATCAGAGCCAGTAAGCTGCAATTAACTGTTAGCAAGGAACAAGTCAAACCACAGCGGATAAAGCATGGAGAATGTGGCATGAAACTCGGAACAGAATCTAGCAACTAACCCCGAATTCCACGGGAATCAGGAAGGGAGCCGTTGCAGAGCTTCAAAAGGCTTTTCTTTTATAAATATAGCAAGAATCATTATAAACAGGCATCATACAATCTCTAAGCTTTACATTCCATAACAATTAACAATCATTAGTTACATTACAAACTTATTCTAAACCTGTATTGTACTTTATTCAATTCTCAACCTAGTGGATTGGTGGACTTATAGCCACCCGCAGTTTTTACCCTTATCTGGGGTTTTCTGCGTCATCATCTCGCCTCTTCTTCTCCTTTTCCCCTTTGTTCATTTCTTTTAAGTCATTCATCTCCATTCTTTGAACCTGCATCATCATTTGCATATTTATTAATTTAGTTGTAGTCTAATTGAACCTAGTCTTATTTGACAATCAGATTTTGAACTAAACACACCGTCTTTACTATATATGGATAATACTTTAACCTAATTAAGTTTATTATTTTGTTGAGGTTCTATTGTCCTAGCTAATTATTACTCCTTAATTAGGTATTAGCCTCGATTCCTAGATGAATGTACTTTTGGATGTTTGACCTCTATCAAGTGTAATCATGAATTATCAAATGGCTCGAAATGTTGTTTATGTGTTGTAGCCTTGTAGGTACTTCTTTCATGGATTAATCTAAGTCGAATAATAATAAATACATAATGCTGCAATAAATTCAAATGTTTTCAAGAAAATTTATTTATATATTTACTATTCTAAATAAACTTTACATATCAATTTCTACTTTTTATTTTTTTAAAAAATTATCTTTATATAGGTACTTCCTCTATTTCTTTTTAGTTGACACGTTTCTTTAGTCACGTTTGTCAATGCACAACTTCAACCATTAACATCTTTAATTATCGATAAACAAAAATTATAAAAAGTTGATATTTTGAAAATATATATCGTGACGAATCTAACAAGATCCCACATGACTATATTTTTCGTTACATATAAAGCACAAAACACGGTCAAAGGGGGTGAATAGTGCTAAAGTCAAAATGTGTCACTCAAAAAAAACGCAGGTAATATTAAAGTTCCTATAATTCACTATGGAGTACCCTACATTTCTAGATACTAGAAAAATATAAACAATTGACCAATTGTGATATTATTTTGTAACTGTAAGAAAAGAGTTTTTATTGGACCGCATTATATACCACTTTTTTCTGTTTTACTTTAAAAGAGTCTATTAGCTTGGTGGTTATTTTTTTATGGCTTCGTTAATGTATCGAACTCATGCAATGGTCATAGTTCATAAGCCAATGGTTAGCCAATAGCAAAAAGAATAATTTATAATGTAAGTGACATTTTAATTAAGTATGTAGAAAACGAAATTAGTAGTTGATGTGGGAACTGTAGAGGTTGATCACAAAATTGACCTTTCTAAGCACCAAGTTTTTGATAATTGAGATCCCGTATTATTAATAAACTGAAAAAGGACTAAAAAGAAAAAGTATCGAGTTAAAAAAGTCATTTTTTTTATTCGCATGCCAATGGAATGATGATTATAACACTCCACCATTGATTTAAACTTAGATTTTTGACCAAAATGGAAAGATGGGTCTAGGCCTAGACTAGTATATAATAATTAAGACACACAATAATATAAGTTCAAATAATAATAAATTGGAGGTTTTTTTTTTTTGGATGACTGAAGTCAAAAGTGAAAATAAATTGAATCAGCTATCGACTTAAACTATGTGCAATATGGAAGCACTTAATCTTTGCTCACGATCAATTCCAAACCCTTAGAGTAACAATTTTTTTGGATTGGTAAAATTTTAAACATATACTTCACACATAATTTTTAAGGAACGAAATGGAATTCGATACAAATAACTTTTCTACAAACACGTAAATACACTAATACACATAATGAGAAGGAGTGAACTTGGTGTGTTAAATTTCATTTCCCTAATCACCATTTTTGAAAAGGAAGGAAAAAAAAACCCTTCTATCTGAAGAAAAACTAAACCAATAACAAGAATTCTGAAGAAAATAAATGATCAAAACACTCCTTAAAAAAAAAATTAAATAGCAAATATAGTAACAACATCTCAAAAAAAAAAAAAAGTATGTAATTATCAATCAAAGAGGATGCAATTAGTTTTCATTGGTATCAATTACTCTACTCATTTATATTTCTTTTTTTTTTTCCTTACAAAAAAAAAAAAAAAAAAAAAAACCAATAGCAAATTACATCTCTTTGTACCCCCTCCAACAATGAGACTCTTATAAAATCTTGAGAGTGTTTGGTGGTGAGCTGATTGAGGCAACTTATAGGATTTGACCAATTTTAGTTGATTGGCTAATACAATAAGCTAATTGGAGTGTAAGTAGTTGATAGGAATAGTGGATTGGACTCAATCCACTCAATTCGAAAAAGTTATTAAGATGAATTTTTTCAACAACTTATTCAAATGAATTAAGGTGAAATGACAAGTTGGAGGGCTAATGCAGGCAGCTTCAAATGAATTAAGCCATCAAACATTTCATTGGGTAACTCAAATATACAATATATTATGACGAATCTTTATTTTTTTATTTTTTATTTTTTTTGAGACAAGATTAGCAGGGCATTTATTAAAGATTGTTCTCTGTCAAAGTAATTAAGTTTTGGGGGGGAAGGAGTTCATACAAATTAATTCCGAACTACCGCGGTGTCCCATCCCGCAACGAGATGAGCAACCACATTCCCTACACTCTTGACATGTGAAAAATAACAGAAATCAAACCACTTAGAAATATCTCTAACATCATCATAAATTAGCCAAATAGGAGAGAAACCCGAACTCTTGCAGTTTATTTGCCGTATCACATTGATGACATCCCCTTCAATCTATACGTTCCTGTGACCCCATTGGCGAGCTTGCTGTAACCCGAATCTAACAGCTGCAACTTCAGCACTCTCCGCATCCCATTCCCCTTCCACACGCCAGGCAGTAGCCCACAACAGTCCCCCATTCTCATCCCGAGCCACAGCCCCAGGCTCAGCATAAGTACTAGAAATATGCGCATCAATATTGATCTTGATAATCCTAGCAGGAGGCTTCGTCCATGAACTGATCAGAGGAGCAACAGGGGTGGCATGCTTCGGAAAGACTCGTTTATTAACATAGGAGCAATAATCAGTCACCAATTTAGCAAAGCTCACTGCTGTGTAAACTGCATTCAGAGATTTTTGCTCATGAATAAATTTGTTCCTGCAATACCAATTAGACCAGAGCAAGCTAAGTACGCAAATCATGTTTATCCAATTTGCTATTGAACCACATTAATTTTTCTAGAAAGGGGTCTGCAGAACCTTCATTATCAACCAGTAATTGAAAACTGCTACTCGCCCATACCTCCTTGTCCTTTGTACAGTCAAAGAGGACATGATTCACGGACTCTCCCACCAAGCTACAGCAAGGGCACGTCTGATCAGTAGCAATGTGACGACGAAACAACTCTTCCTTAACAGCCATACTCCCCTTGCACGCTTGCCACGCAAAGTGACTAAGTTTTGCAGGGCCATCAAGGTGCCAAACCACATGCCACGCCTTATACTCCTTATCATGAGAGTCCATAGAAGTCCTATTTAAATGCCCAAGCATACCCAACCAACAGCCAGATTTCACTCTATACTCGCCATCCTTAGTGTGCCACCAGAACATAGTCTATTGGGGAAGAAATTGAAAGAGGGAGCTTCATGATTAATTTACAGTCTGCATGAGAAAATAAATTTTGAATTAAATCAGCATTCCACTCCCCACTTTCTACAAAGATCAAATCAGCTACACGCAAGTCAAGATCAAAATTCGAGCCATGAGAGGGAGCTGCATTATTGGCAGCCCCTTGCAGCCACGGATCAAGCCACACTCTAATAGAACTGCCGTTCCAAACCCCCCAACGAAGTCCTTCTAGCAATAGGGACTTGGCTCCCAACAAACTCCGCCAAGAGAAGTTTGGATTATAGCCCTGGTAAGCTTCCAAAACCGAACTATTCTTAAAGTAATGTGCCTTAAGAATAGAATGCAGGAATGAATTTTGGTCACTATGGAGGCGCCACATTTGTTTTGCAAATAGAGCTTGATTAAACACTTTGAGATCCTGGAATCCAAGTCCACCCCTTGACTTCGGCATACATTATTATTACGAATGTAACAAGACTCAACTTTTTATATTTTCTTTATACATTATTGTACACGTAAGGTTTCTTCAAAAAATAAATCGTATAAGGTCAAAGTTTGGCCAAATCAGACAATCACATCAGATCAGATCAAATCGGAAAAAATAAGGTGAACTAACAAGCTTTTAATCAAAGCGGAATGTATGAAATATATGTTCTTTAATTATAATCATCAAAGTTAGTTAAAGGCTCTGTTCAATTCAGCTTAAAAAATTAACATTCAGTAAAAAATAATTTCAGTTCAGTAAAAATAAGTTCAGTTAAGCAAAAATAATTTCAGTAAAAATAATTTTAGTTCAGTAAAAATCAGAAACTATGAAGAAGAAATATACGAGTAACAGAGAATCAATAAAAATATTTTCAGTTCAGTAAAAATAATTTTAGTTCCTTACAAATAAGGTGAAGTGAACTAGGCCAAAGTGTAATGTAGGGCAAAAGTTAACGAGTGCCCCGGGGCGTTAGATTAGAGAGCTAAATGTAGAAATATTATAGTAAAATTAACATTAATTACATCGATCGACGCGTGATTTTGTCATCCATTCCGAACTTCATACTATTTTAAGTAATATATTAATCCTTTATTTAACGCTCCGGGACGCTTGTTAGCAAGATCCATGTAGGAACAGTGAAAAAGTCAACACGTTGCATTAAAAAAAAAATTAAATTAAATAAAAAAAATAAAAAATAATAATAAAAAAAAAATTACTTGTACTCCGTATTATTCTTATTCTTTACTGAGTACGAGTATTTCTCTTCTGCGTTGTGCAACTGCAACAAAACTGCAGCTGAAGCTTAGGGCTATGGCAACTCAGGCCTTTATAAAAATGTCTCATAATTAGCGGATAATTACAATCCTTAATTCTGGTACTGCCTCATTTTTCCCATATAACTCTTACTACTAATTTACCCAAATTTTATTGATTTTTCAATTTTCATCACTTAATCTACTAACTGCAGCATAATCGTGTTAAATTATTGCGAAACAATGACAAAAACTCCATCTTTGGTGAACCTCTGCTTTGGTGCCCTTCAACATCACATTCTTTATGGTATAATAAAACGTAGTATTCTTAATTTTACTTTTTGCCTAATTTAGGTCAATTATTAATTTGTATATCAAAGTTTTCACTTTTTTTTTTCTTGGATTTTTTTATTTTTTATTTTTTATTTTTGTAATTTATATTTTTTACAGGGGAAGATGATGAGTTAGTTCAGGGAATATATGAGCTACCCACTGAGCTGTTTGATGGTTTATTGAAGAACCTGCCTGCTATAGCCCTCCAAAAATTGCAATTACAAATGTTTGTACTCTTTAATTTTCACTTCTTCACAAAAATTTTAAGAAACCCACTTCTGATTAGGTTAAATTGTTGTTTGTTTCCGCTTCAATTTTCTTTATTTGATGATTTTTGCTTGTATTTTTATTTGATTTATCAAGTTCTGAGGAGGGGGGGCGGGGCGGGGATTGTATTGCTTATGTGTAGATAATCTTGCATTGTTGTTCATTGTATTGTATATATGCCGGTTTTAGTGAGTTGATAATGCTTGGCTGACTTCGAATTTGGTTTGGTATTGACAAGTTAGAGTAGTGTGAGGACTATTGGGATAGGGCTCTTTATGAATTCAGTCTTTGCGTTAAAAAGAGCGGGTAATTCATAACAGTTTATTGGATAGTAAGAGGGGTGTGGACTGTGGAGTGCGGACCGATCAAGCCTAACCTTCTATTGTGGACGTCAAGCTTGCTGAATATAATCATAGTTATGCACTTGTGCTTGAACCAAACTCGAGTGGAATTATGAGCTGCATCGCTTTTCACGTTTATTGAGCAAACAAGATTAGCTTTTTTTAATGACTAGCCTTACTTGTCTATTTAAGCATCTTTGTTACATCAATTTTGATGTATTTATGACTAGTGATGTTGATTATGTGATCCATCTTCCATCAATATCATCCCTTGTGAAAATGAACATTTTCTAGGAAGGGGATACCTATTTCATCTATGGTTTGGGTGTCGCAATTTTGTTTGAGCATGGAGTGTTGGAAATATTTCCACAAGTTCTAGATATTTAATTTTGTTTTATCTAAATATCCTGGCAGGCCTTTGGAGAGACAGACTGAGTTTGACCTTGAGTATGATTGCTCTGGAAATGGAAGGAAGCGTGTGAGGTTAGATTCTCATTCAATGGCATTCTTTGTCCTTTCTGGAAAAGTGGATTATAATATTCAGTACTCTTGCTCAGATATGGCAAGTTCGAAATTGCATGGAAGGCATTATATTCCTCACGTTGGCCTGAACTTGTCAAGCATTCCCAAGAGAATCCTTCGTCACAAAAAAGTATGTTGGAATGTGAAGCACCATTTGACTGGCAACATATGTATTGGGAAATGCATCTTCAGAAGTATGTGAAATGACAAAACAAGCTACCCTTTTTTTTTTAATCTAAATTTAATTTGGTCATTACTTATTTTCGGGCTTCTCACGCAAATGTTAGTTGCTTTGATGCAGCTGCAGAGAGAGCTATGTTACCGTCTTTTGATGGATGTGTTGGGGATGTTAAAATTCCAGGTAGCTTGATGCTTTCTTCAAAGGTTTTATCGGATGTGAAGTTTTGATGTGCTAGATTGGCTTTATTAGCTTATTTTGAAACATTAATATTTTGGACTGCCAATATTTTATTTAGCCAATTCATCTGCCATACAATTATTGAATATTGGGTATGAGCTAATCTTCTTTTGGTGGAAGCTCTGGTAATTAGTTAAAGTGGATGTTATGATCCAGCAGTCCAACCCAGCTTGCCCATTCTGACTTTGTTTGCTATTGTGTTCATCTATATGCTTCTGCAATTTCTTGTGTTAAAGCCTTTAAGGAGTACCTTTTATTTGTAATAAGCCCTATAATTAAAAGGAGGTAACTTGTGTTGTATATGATCAACAAAATTTTCTTAGGTGTGGTTAAGCTGTCACTTAGTCCTGTTACTTCTTTTATAAAGTCGATTAGTTTATGCTGGAGAGCGGGCTTTTCACATTGTGGAACTGCTGATACCTTTGATATTTCCTTACTTGCACATTACAGCTGTGTAGTGCATAGAAACTAGAAGTAGTTTGAGGTTTTTATTAAAATTAAAAATCTCTATATGTAGTCGTACATCTACGATATTATTTTTATATTGAAGAGAATTCTGGTGGGTCCATTTACTTTGTGTGATCTGCTTATGTGCATTTCTTTCAAACAAGGCTTAAATGAATTTTGGTAGTTATTATCAATTTGGGTGGCCTCCTTTTGAATTCTCGAGTGTTTGGCTGTACAAATGCAATAGCAAGCTTGAAAATAATATTTTGCGGCCAGTATTATTTACATAAAATTGTTAGTTTAATACAACATTTGATGTTATAAAAAACTAGCAGTATAAATTTACTAATGCAAGCTGATTAGTCCGCAACTCCATATCCATGGAGAATTGGAGCATAAAGTTCTGCTCCAGATACTGCCTAATCTCTACTGCAGTTAATGCACAAATTTATATCATGATGTGATTTATGCTGTTCGCCATCTGAAAGTTGTACCCTTGCTTTTAAATATGAGAGCTTGAGCCTTGAGGTATTCATGTTATGTACGTGTTGCTAACTTACTGCTGAACTTTTTCCTTTTTTTTTTTTTAGAACTTTACGACAATATAAATAATTTTGTCCAGAAACTTGCTGACAAAGGCAATTTTCTTGGCAGCTCCCAATTTCCAGTATGTATTCAGCTCTCATGTGTTCACCTGATATCTTTCATCTTGCTGTGTAACTTGGTTGTTGGATCTCTGGTTGAATATTTTTCTTTTGCATATTCATGTGCTGACTTATTGTCATGATTACTTTCCAGATGAACTAATCAAAATAATGGGTTATGAGGAACCAACTAAAGGATCAATGCATCATTACTCCAAATTGCGTGGTCATTGCCAAGACTTTGGATGTTATGTGAGGTGGACTACTTTAGCTGTCCATATCATGTTTTCCTGGTGGATTTATACTTTTATGGATGGATGTTTTGGTCATCTTGTTCATCACTTCATGTGTTCTTTGAGCTTTTACATGCATATGGACTGGTGACCATGTTTTTGTTCTTCTATGTTATTAAAAAGATCTGTTTGCATGGCTGATATCATGTTTGGGACAGTTGAAGGTGCTTAAATGGTATTCTTGTTCTTGCAGATCTTTGAGACTTCAGAACATATTTTGCAATAAGGAAACTTGTGTAAGTGGCTGTCTATCTCTTGTTCTGAAAAGCAATAAATATATAAACTTGCAGGTTGCTTTACACTGTCAAGATTCGAGAAAGTTTTCATACATAGTGTTACCTTTTTTCTGTAAAAAAAAAGTCTGTTTCCTTATATTAAAGATGGTTACCAATCTCTTTTGGATGGGTTTGTTGAAAAGTTACTTTTGGATCTTGATGATTCACACTTAGTAGATCTTGACTTCTAGTTTGAAGTAATATTTGTTCTACTCTCTGATTTTTGGGGTTTCAGCAGAGATAATACAGTAAAGCTTTAACTGATGATTGAATGTATTCCTTACAAAAAAAAAATTTAATATTACTTCCAAGTAAAATCTGTGCTCTCATATTGATGACATAGTTAAATTATAAACAAAAAAAAGGAAAATTAGCATTCTTTTGCAAGCTGGATAAATTTTGTAATTTCTGCTGGTGTCTGAGTAGAGTGAGTACTCAGAGTAAAATGTGGCAAGCAAGCTTACCATTTACTGTTTTTTGGTCTAGTTTGAGCATTCCATTAACCTAGGATTTGATTCTTATGTTCTACTGTTTTATGTTGCATGGCATGAAATGTAAAATGTTTAACACTGACTCATTTTTAGAGGGAGTTCAAATAACTCTGTCCCGCTCTTGTGTACCATTTAATTTATTTGTTAAATCTCATTATCAATTAGCTATTTTCAGTAAATTGTATTTTAACCAGTCTTCCATCCTTTTGCCTTCCCCCTTCTCGTCATCCCAGAATCCCGGCCTTTATCAGCTGCAGAAAACCACAGATAGTCACTTTTCCTCCTTCCCCCTTCGCGATTGCCATCAATTATCATTGTCTCTGTGTTAATCAGCTATATATGGTCAGTCAAATTGATGTTTCTCTCTATGTTAACTCTGATTTGGGTTCCAAAAGTCAGGGGGGTTCAAATGTACTCCGTAGTGGACAATCAACATAGGTAATAAGGGTGGTAGTGCTGGATTGATCCGTAAAAGACTTGTGCTAGAGATAGTTAGAGCTTTTTGCATCAAGCGATTAGTGCTGGAGTGGAAAACTCAAATGTTGGAGGTGTATTCAATGTTATCTTCTTTCTTCTCCTTGCTTCTTGTTATTGACTGATATGAAATCTGAGAAATAGTTTGTTGGATGGAGAGGGATTTTTTTTTTTTTTTTTTTTTTTAATTTTTGTTAGGAGGGGGAGGGGGGGGGAGGTAACTTCTATATTATGTACATAGGTTCAAGAATGTATTTGTTTTCAGTCTGTTGAGCATATGAGGTCTGGGAGTTAGCATCAATCTGGCCAAGTCCTTATTTAATAAAATAAGGGGAGGGGGGGGGGGTATTTTGTCCATCTTGAGGTTTTGTTCTAGGCTGGGTTTAAGATGTAGGCCATGTAGCCTATCACCACTTAATTATTCGAGTATTTATCTTTGTGGTGGCTTGGGAGTTCAATACTTCAATGTCCTGTACTCCTGTAGTTAAATAAAGGTTATACTGGAAAAAAGAGTTAATATTTTCCAAAGGCGAGATTCACTCTATTCTATTTGTCTTTTTAGTGTATTCTATTTGGCACTGGTCCCTTTTGGTGTGGCTGATAGGCTTTGCCACTTTGGAATTCTTGATTATTTTGTTTGAAGATAACAAAGATAATAGAGTTCATTAGATTCAGCTTTAGTTTGTAGCCCTGGGGTAATTATGGTGTAGGTTGTGGATATTTGATGGCATTTTGGTGGAAAATGGAGAAAGCATTAAAAATCAGCTTTGGTTTGTCGACTTGAGGAATAGGATTGTGTGGATTCTGGAAAATTGGTGATATCTTCTTGGTAGAAAATGGATTGGGCAGTTCCCATTGGAGTTAAACTGTTTTTCGGCATATACTGATCCGCAGTTTGTAGAACCAGTTTTAGGCAAAATTTCTTTCTTTAAAACTAGTCAAAAGTAAATTAAATATCTGTAAAGTTGAGTAGAGTAAATTGTATTTTAACCAGTGTCCATCCTTTTAACTTTCTATATTGTGTACATAGGTTCAAGAATGTATTTCTTTTCAGTCTGTCGAGCGTATTCTAGGTCTGGGAGTTAGCATCAATCTGGCCAAGTCCTTTTTAAATAACGGGAGGGGAGGTATTTTGTCCATCTTGAGGTTTTGTTCTTGGGTGGTTTTAAGATGTAGTCTATCACCACTTAATTTTTCGAGTATTATCCATGTGGTGGCTTAGGAGTTCAATGTCCTGTAGTTGAATAAAGGTTATACAAGAAAAAAGAGTTTTTATTTTCCAAAGGCTAGACTCACCCTCATTCGATTTGTCTATATAGCATACGCTATTTGGCTCTGATCCCTTTTGGTGGGGCTGATAGGCTTTGCGGCTTTAGAATTGCGGATTATTTTGGTTGAAGATAGAAAAGATAATAGAGTTCATTAGATTCAGCTTTAGTTTGTAGCCCTGGGGTAAAAATGGTGTAGGTTGTGAATATTTGATGGCATTTTGGTGGAAAATTGAGAAAGCATCAAAAATTAGCTTTGGTTTGTAGACTTGAGGAATAAGATCGTGTGGATTCTGGAAAATTGGTGATACCTTCTTGGCAGAAAATGGATCAGACAGTTCCCATTGAATCTAAACTGTTTTTGGCATATAATGATCTGCAGTATGTAGAACCAGTTGTAGGGCAAAATTTCTCTCTTTAAAACTAGTCACAAGTAAAATTAAATATCTGTGAAATTGAGAAATTTTGCACTTGCACCTTGCACTATTGCAATGATTGTGAGCCTTATTAAATAGTCGGTATCTATATTAATTCCGGGACATTGCAATATAAGGAGAATAGTTGGTTTACCAAGTTTCTAAATTTGATCATTTCCAGGTAAGTTATGCTGGTTTGGGCCTTGGACGGGCCAGGAGAACTGGCAGGCTGCTTTCATGGCTGTTGTGTGCCTGTGTGTGTTGTAAAGGAGTTATATAACAATCAATGATCAAGCTACTACTTCTAGTCTTGTCCATCTCTTTGGGATCAAGTTGTTTTCCTGGTCGTTGTATGATCTAGGCCTTCCAAGGGCTTATTTAACTTTTTTAGTTTATTTTTTTTATTTTTGTATATAAGTTTAACAGCATGATTGTCACACTATGTTGTACAGATTAATTGTTAACCTGTCAGTGTTGCTAGTTGTCAACTGCTCTTATTTTCTTCTCAACAATCCCCTTTGATGTCATCCCTTTGAAATCTATTTTGTTTGGGCCAAATTTTGGTATGATGTGTCTGATTTTTGCAGATAAATCTTTTTACTTTTTCCGTTTTTTTTCTTTGTTCTATATCTTGATCATCCAACTTATATTCTTACCCAGAAAATGACATATAAAGGGTCAAGCACACTGATGGGTGAAGAAGAAGCTAGTTTGAACCACACATATTAATGACGGAAGATTGTCTGCAACAGTGTTATAGAAGTAATAGAACACCTTGTAATTTCCAAATCCATTAACAGTCACTGGTCGCGTAGATTATATCACATTAGGAAAATAGAGAACAAATTTGGACTTGTATGAAAATTTTGAGGCGTGGCAGGGGGCTTGAATAAAAAATAACCCAAACAAGATACAGTCAAAAACCTATATCATATCAACTTGTAAGGTCATCACCCTAAACATAAATCCTTGGCCACTAAGTCCATATGTTGTATATTCTATGCTACATGGAAACAATCGTGATTATCTATCTGCATTACTCTATAACGTTTTGTTGAAGGTCTGACTAACTCTCTCTTAGTGAGTTATAATCCTAAACTTATGCTGCTTTAATACTTTCAATGCTAAAATTTGTTATCAAATGTACTCTAGCACAAACAAGACGTTAAAGTATACTAATCTTTTGAAATTAACACAAGTATACAGGCTCTTGATTTCTTCCCTTTCTCTTTAATTTTGTTTTGGGATTGATTTCGTCCTCTCTCTCTCTCTCTCTCTCTCTCTCTCTCTCTCTCTCTCTCTCTCTCTCTTTGGGTGTGCTTTGGTTTCTTGGTTTTTAAATAGCATTTTATATTGTTCGTTGATCATTATGCTCTGTTGCAGCAATTATTAGCAAACAGCAAGTTGCAAGGTTTGTTGCTAAGGAGAATTTCCTCCGACATGCACGTGAGTCCCTATATCTAAAAAATTTATGATTCTTCGTAAGTCTGGGCTATATCCAGCTCCCACCTTCTAGTAGCTTCATGTTGGCACGTGAAACATTGTTGCAATTACTCAGACTAATTTTATATGTACCATGCGTGCGTGAAATTGTAAAAGCATTTACGACTGCTTATACTATGTTTGCTTTAAAATTTGAAAGTACTAGAAAATTAACTGAATTATAGTATCACTCTTTATTATCTTTCTTTATTCAAAATACTTGTAAGTGTATAGTAGGATTGAGAAGAGATGAGGAATTTCTGTGGTCTGGGTCTAGTGATGTTAGAAAAGATCACCCTGTGGGTTTGGAATTGGTGTGTCGTGTCTTCTGGGAAGGTGGTGGCTGAAAAGACTGCTTGTAAAATTAATGGTTGTGGTGCTTCCCTCATGATTCAGTGTTCTTTTGGCACTGAGTCATAAAAGCAAATTTTGGCTAGTACCAAAATGGTTGGGATGCACTGAGGGATTTGTTGCCAGAGTTACACATGGTTGTCTATAAAATTTATTTCGGGGGTGTTCACTTTATTCTTCCCTCTACTTAGGTTCAAAATTGGGGCTGGTTCTCGGCCTCTCGCATTTGTTTTTGAATAGATGTTCAAATATAAGGGCAACCTTTTTATGTTTGATAACCTGATTATACCGCCAATGTCCTTATCTACATAATGCCCCAGTGTCTGGTTTTATCACAAGAATGCTCTGGTTCTGGAGGTTTTCACATGAGAGGGAGATAAAGGAGCTTCCTTCTTTGCTTGAGGATCTCAACCTTCAATTGACTGCAGTATACGATTCAAGGATATGGATGGGGAACTCTTAGGGAAGCTTTTTAAGTAGATCTTTACTCTGTTGTTTGACTTGATAGTAAATTTGATTGGAAAATTTCCTTTAAAGGTGAGAGCTTTTGTTTAGAGATTGGCATTTGATAGAATTATACTGACATGCTTCAATGGTGTAAGTTGAGGCTATAGATCTTTCACCTGATATTCTTTGTTGTGCCGAAGCGCTAGTGTGTCTTGCTCACATGTTTTCCTTTATTGTAAAAAGGCAAGTTACTTTTGGAAGAGATTGTTTGCCTAGGATCTAGAATCTTGGTTTACCATTTGATGGTGGTGGATTGGCAAACAATTTAATTTTTCGGGGTTTGTTAGACAAAGAGAAGAAGGTGTTGGCACAATAGAGGTGACAGAATGCTCTTATGCCAATTTTGTGGTTTTTTTGGTTGGAGCAAAATTTCCCGTGTCTTTTCTGGAGTTTCCTTATGTTCTGAAGTTGCACAGGACAAAGTAACTTATCTAGCCTCTTTATGGGTTAAGGCGGTTGGGCCGGGGCATTAAAGAACTATTTAATTGGTGTAGGTAAAGCAGATCTATGCCAATGATTCCAAGTAGTAATAGATAGATATAAAGATAATGAGCATTAATTTACATATTGAACTAACTAAAAGTGATGAGATGGAATGCCTTTGATCCTGATTTGGACTGTCTTTTGAAGTTTTGAAATCCCAAAGACACCAAAGTTTGTGAATACACTATTAAAAATACTTAACTATCTAATAACTCCTCGATCGTTTCTATATAATTGTAGATATTTCTTCTAGTTTTGACTCTTTTCCTTCTTACCATATTCTTTCCTAGTATTAATATAAAGTATCTTTTAAGTATAGTAATATCTCCTAGATTGATTCTCCTCTAAAATTGTAAGGTCTACAGTTTTTTATGATTAATTTCTTTTTCCCTAATTTTTGTGAAAATTAAAAGGTGATCCCAAATTTTGACCCCACCTTCGATGTTCCCTTGTAGTAAAAAGATAATTTGCTGGCGTAGGTTTCCCATTTGAGCCATGGAAATTCCAACTTTGCAAGTACAAACTACGGTATGAGAAAGAAGTGCATTCCAGTTTTGAGGGTATTTTACTATTTTAGGTTGACCCCTGCACTTCTCTGTTAGCCGACCCCTAATAATTTTGGGACTAAGGCTTTGTTGTTGCTGTTTATTATTTTAGGTTGACCCCCCGCACTTTTCTGTTTCTGAGTGGGTAAAAAGAACAGAGTGAGAGAAGCAAGCTAAAGCAGACATATATCTAGACTGTGTTTATCCCATATTATGGAGAGTACGGACCCTTTTCCTAAAACATGAAAAAAAATTGGGTAAGTTTCCTTCAAGCAATTTGTAACTGTAGGCTCTTTCGAGTACCCTGGCTCTTATTTCAGTGCTTGCAAAAGAGTGAATGCTCATATGTCTCGAGTATGCCTTTAGTTTCAACCTATTCAACGATTGGTTGAGTCCATATTTGTAGGTTAAGTAGTTCTAAACAAAAAGTTTCATGTGCTATTAATCTGTTATTATTTGATGAATCACCCTGGGCATCTATTTATGAACCATTATTTAGTATTGTCAATGTGTTCTTGTTAGTAGTTCATCCTTTTGAAATTAGCAAATTCTGATTCAGTATGTTTTATCAGGGAACTCAAAATAAAACCTAATCCTAATCTTGAATTTTGATGGCTGTGTGCGCCATCTAGACAAATATTTTACCCTTTCTTTATACCACTGAATATTATGCAGTAAAATGGTACAAGGTTGATTATGGAATATAGATCCTTTTCACATAGCAGAAACAGCAAAGAAGATATGTGTGCTAAAGTGCCACTATCTGACTGAAAGAGGTATTTGTATGTACATCTGGTGTTTTCTAAGAGTATGTAATATGTTGTTGCAGTGTGATGGATTATGCATGATACTGAAACAGAACAGAGAAACAATATCATCCCTGGAATTTGTCAACTGCAAGTTTTCATTGGCGATTTTGGAGGCAATCTGTAATACATTGGAAATGGAAGGTACACAAGCACATGGAGTGAAACATTTTTCTGTCAAAGCATCAAAGTTTTTAGAAGAAAATCCAGCGTTTTTTCCGCCAAAGCTCGTATCCTTACTATCATCAAGGTACATTCCTTGTAATTGTTTCAGAACTTGTTATTTCAAGTTGGAGTATTCTTCATTGTCTTGACAGACACCCATATTGGGGAACATTTTTTTTAGTGGAATTCGATTCAGCAAGCACATGGAATAAAAAATATGATGTTTTACTTCTCAATCTTCTTTCCTCTTGTATCAGATTTTCTTTTTGTTGAATTTCCTTGTCACCGCAGATCACTGGAGTCATTAAGCCTTTGTGATGACCATATTGGGAGAAATTATGCTAAATTGACTCTTATGGCACTTCTTGATGCTTCATCTGCTCTCTCCACCCTAGAGCTGTCAGATAACAATGTAAGAAACTTTATCATCCGCCTATTTAAAACCTTGTGTGCTTTCTTAATCAGAATCATCTTAAATTTGGAACAACTCATATTAAGTGTTTGTCCTCTTTGTTGTGAAGTTCATTTTATCAATACAAGTTTTTACTTTACTGCAGATTTCAGGCTGGCTTTCAGATTTTCGTTGTAGCTCTTCCAATCAAGCCTTGTGTTGCAAACCGAGCAAGTCTTTGCAGTCTTTACGTGTGCTTAATCTAAGGTATAGACTGTATCACCATCACCAACCATATTAATTAAATGTAAGTTGCAGACTGAAGTGATGCAACTGATGACTATGAAGAAAAGTAGTCTGCTTTGAGACTATCTTCTTAGGCTTTGTTCTAGCTGATATGGGGGGTATGAATAGTGTTTAGAGAGAGATTAAACACAAGAGGGACCCATGTAATGGTGAGAGATCAAGAGAGATGAGGACCATAAGCCAAATATAGTGAAGTCTTAATAATTTTTCCAATTCCCAAGCAGGGAAGTGTTGGAATTAACTATTCCATAAATGATCTTCATACAGTTAACTTAACGTTTATATCATAAGCAATGTGTTTCAAGCATAATACTAACAAATCTTCATCATCTACAACGACTTTGATACAAACACAAAGCTCTTTGTCGTGCATTCCATGTTACACGTGCACATTAGTACTCTTAGAAATATATATAAAGCGAATCAACCAGCCTAACGTCTAGCTTACCCTACTAGATCAAGCCCTAAGAGCTCTTTTGTAAAAATATAGAAGAACAACCTATTCATGGTAATTAGCGAAAAGCCTTGAAGATGGTTGTTCTGTGAATATAACTTAGAATTATCATCAACTTACTCATTAACTCACAATAAGATACATTTGGCTTTTTCACCTTTCATTTTTGATAGATTTTGGAATGTTTATTGCTGTCAAGGATGTTGGAATTGGTGAAAACAAGGTTTGCAAAAAGCATCAAAGGATACACATATTGGTTATGATTCTATCTTGATATTGATATACTTTGATGCGTGCCTTCCGTAGCCAATTCGACCAGGTTACAAAATTTAGAACCTCAATTGAATCTCCTCTAATGGTTGGCACACAACATCGAACTCCGACAAGAGTTTACAACTTAGATCAATGTGCAACTGTGCAAGGAGAGTTTTCTCGCTTTCTCTCGCACGTGTTCTATGGTGGAAAAAAATAGTTGAATTCATACGTTTTAATCTGATCATATAAACTAATTATTCGTCATTTGTATCTGATCCTGTGAAGGATGAACTATCATTTAGAGTAATGCCCAGGACATACTTCCAACAAAGGGTGTGGTTTAGAAACTCACTTTGATTCCACACTTTCCACTCTCTGTTATCAATGTTGGAATTTGATTTTATTGATATTTGGGATTATCCCTTACCAGATTTGATAAAAATATGCTTAGATAATGAATGAGACGAACAATCGAACATGTGAACATTTTACTCAATCTCAGATGAATTCTTTCACATAACCCACCTTCCTCCCTATTCAGTGCTTCTCAATTGATCTCATTTAGCTCAATGTGCTGCTTTTTTCTAACTTCATTTTCTTCAATTCCCAATTTATCATTTCTGCACCAAACAACCTTGATCTGATTCAAATCTGGTTGGTTGTTCTGAATTTGAGTTTCTTACAGTTCCGTCAGCTACCTCCTGTAATTACGTGAAAACTTTTAATATCCCAATATCTAGTTAAAGTCATACTTTATTCTGTCAATGAAAGGAAAAGGATGATTCAAACATTTGTGAATTACATATTCTCAAATCAATGACAGTCGGGCAGGTTTTTTGCACCTTTGGAAGTGTTTGAACAATTTTTACGTATTTGCCACTGGATGTTTTAAAAGTATTCATATGTTGTAACTTTTAAAGGAGTATATTATTCACCCATTTGGCTAAGAATCTGTTTGGCAGAATTCCCATTGAATGGAAGCTCTATGAGAAACCTTTTTAACTGGACTGGTGTATTAAGTGCTAAACAAAAAGTTTGATAAAGAAATCTAGTTTATGACATGATTTTACTGGCTTAAATATTTTCTGAGCTATGATTTTGCTGATTTCCTCGTGCAAAAGTAGTGTACCAAGAAAAGAGTTTGTTTGTATCCCTGAACCCTTGATTAAGTGGAGGATATTGTGCCATATCTATCTTTATACAGCCTTATTATAATCAAGATTTCATATAGGACTTCACTATGCAAATTTGTTTACACTTAACTGCCTCTCTGCGTTGAATGCTGCTGGGGATGGAAGAGAATAATCTGTTGGGGACCTATGTGAAACTTCCCTAATGAAGCTGCACTATGGGCTAATAAAAGTGTCCACCTGCAGTCTTCACTTCTACGAATTTCGTGTTTGCAATAACTGAGTGACTGATAGTGTATCTTGTTTTCAATTTTCTTAGGTTCTTCTCTCTATTGTAGCTTTAGCTTTGTACAACATTATTTTGGTTGTTAGAATATTGATGTCGTAAAACTTTGTCTATTTTTTGCTCTTCAATAACTTCCCCCCTTCTCTCCATCCGTATATGTGGAAGTTGTTTGATTAAGATCTATCTCTTACTATAGGGGAAACAATTTGCGGAAGAATGACCTTGAAGACCTTGCATCTGCACTCATTCATATGCCAGTTTTGGATACTCTAGATTTAGATGACAATCCTTTTGAGGATGATGGGATCAAGTGAGTTTGTTGTCTTGGCCTTTTTTTATTGACAACTTCCTGCCCATTTCAACAGTGAGCTATAGTTTTATGAAACTTTTCTCGACACCGCAGGTGTTTAATCCCTTACTTTGTCAAGACTTTTGAACACTTTCCCCTTGCCAATCTTAATTTGAAGAACTGTAAGCTCTCCTGTAATGGAGCAACTGAACTTCTGGAAGTTCTTTTAGCGTTAAAATACCCTTTGACTTCTCTTTCTCTGGCAGATAATGATCTTGGAAGGTTAGTCTTTTTTTTCTTTGAAATCTCTATTTATTTTGGTAAATGTTTGTTGTTTTATTTGTAAATGATGATTTCTTGTCATATTTTTGAAAGTCAAATAGCACCATTACTCGGAGATTTTATGCACACATCTATAAGGTCGCTTGATATAAGGGACATTGGCCTAGGTTCATCCGGATTTTTAGAACTGAGGATTAATATGCCAGATGTGGTGAGGCTAATCAGCATTAACATAAGGTGCTTCTTAGACCCCTTACAGCTTTCCAATAATTTGTAATCAATTTGAATGTTGAATTGCTATGTTTTCACAGTGAGAATCATGGGGGGATCCAAGCTGCGGAATTTCTTGAAGATCTTATCTCTAGAGCTTCAGAACTTGTTGATGTGCATGCAGGATACAATTTAATGCCCTCGGAATCCTTGAAAATTATATGTTCAGCCCTCACAATTGCTAAAGGTATGCTACACTGATAATAGAAAATTATAGCAGAATTCAAATGGTAACCACTGCCAAGTAATCTTCTTCCTACTTCTTGATTTATGGGCAAATGATTCATTTGAAAATATACCAGAAGTCACCCTTTTATCAGTTGGTAACTGCATCTTACTGCTTAACCGTTCCAAATTTGTTAATTGACTCTATATTGCTTGATAAATATCAACATTATTTTGCAATCCTCTGTTTTTCTCTAGATAAAATTATTCCTCCAGCTGCTGTTTTGGTTGCCTATGTCATTAATAGAACTGGAAGGACCAGCTGGCCTCTTACAATAGAGCAAATCTATATTGAAAAAAAAAAAAAAAAAAAAAAAAAAAAAAATCATTCCAGAGTCCAGATTAGCAGGGAATAAGTGCTTCCTGGAATAAGCAATTTAAACCTTTGTTCTAAGCACCCTGCTGGGATGAGATTGTGATTTGTGAAAAAAGTTGTTTTTCTATTCCACCCAAATTCTAATTTTAGTTGTCAATAAGCCTCCCAAAACTCTTGAACATAGCCTGGGGACACAAAGTTAACGCTCCTCCTAGGTCCAAAAGGAATGTGATGCTGAAAATAGTGCTCAGCATGAGCCCCGGCCCTCTCTGGAAACACAAACATTAGCATAGATTGCCTCGCGTTGCCCTTTGCCATAATTTTATCTGTTGAATTCTGTGTAGGACTTCAGTTCTGAGTGAAGTTCTAAACTTCAACTTTGTCCTTTCAAATCAATCTTAAAAGAGAAAAATCAACAGGGTCAGGATGGCTCTAAGATGTTGCAAAACAGACCTTACTTTTGAAAAGCCATATATCTTGATTTCAGTCAACAAATGCCTAGTATCTTGTAGTGATTCTAATGATTATATTAATTTTACTAACTCATGATTCCGACATATACTTTCGTATAGCTCTCATGCTTTGACCTTCCATGTTAGCTTATATATATATATATTCAACATTCTTGTCAAGTGACTATTTTGGAGTAGCTGCTCTAGGCTAGAGTTGATATGGGTCAGGTTGTGGCCAAAAGTGTTTGCCCAGAGTATTGAGATTCAGAATTAGATCAAACCTTCATTGCCTATGTTCTGTTTGTGCTTTTTAACCTGGGAAGTCGTGAACTATCTATCGGGGTTGGGTTGTTAAAATCGAAATATTAGTTATTGTTAATAGAAGGAACCCTTGCTTCAGACTTCAGAGAAGTGTACAACCTGTACTTTGTAAGCTATTAGAAATGTATAGATGCCCAATTAGTGTAGCTACTTTCAGATAGTGACAGCAATCACCAATGCTGAATGTTCTTCTATGCTGATTTAATTGATCATATTCATCTCAGGTTTTATATCTGGTTCTAAAATGAACTTAAATTGTTTTGAATCAGGGAATCTTCAACGTATTGATCTTACAGGAAACCACAAAATTTGCCTGGCTGATCACATATCGGCGCTTTCTGAATTTCAATACAATGGAGAACCAATTGTGGTGATCTCAACCTCGCTTTCCCAAGACACGCTCTATGATGATGATCCATAGAGCAGTGGCATACTGGCATGTATTAGACGTACGTTCCCTACTTAAAACGACATCCATGAGAAAATTCCCCCCTCCCCCCTTTTTATTTTTTATTTTTTTGCAATCCATGAATGTCATCAATAGGGTGTCTCATTGTGATGTCAATTCATCACTTAATAGACAGTGCAACTAGCATGTAGAAGTTGAAGGTAAAGAAATTCCAATCATTTGTTATAAACTCTTAAAATAAATCTTTAATGTTTGCTACATGTTTTGGTACAAGGTTTAGCCTTTCAATTTTTTATTTTTTAATATCTTTCTAATACAATGCAGCGGGATCATTGAAGCAGAAAGTCAGAAACTAGAAATGAGCAATGTAATATACCTTTTTTTTTTTTCCTTATAAGATGTACTCCCTCTATTCCTTATTTTTTGTCCCATTTGACTTTCACGGTCTCAAAGACGCGTCTTCAAACGTATAAATCTTCAAACGTATAAATCTCCAAACGTATAAATCTGTTCCTTATTAATGTGTAAAAATTATAAAAACTTGATCTTAATAAAATATACATTGAGGCGATTCTAACAAGATTTCACATGAATATATTATCATTTACAGAATAACGAATATTCATGGTCAAAGATTTTATAGTTTGACCCATTTATTTACAATGGGGCTAAAAGTAAGGGACGGAGGGAGTAACAGGTTTAATATTTGCTGTCAATTACTTTGGCTTCACAGTCTGAAATTCTGAGTGGCAAATGCCAAAATGGCAATAGTATTTGTTCATGTGATCATATGATCAATCACGCTTAGAACAGTTGAGGGAATGTAGCTTTATTTAATGAAATGAAAACCCCACTGTCGTGAAGTTGTTCGCTGGTATTACTACATCTTGTACCAATTATCAATTATTCGAGTTGACAGGGGAAAGGGGCAACGTGTAGCATATTGGCTCGCTTGTCGGTTGCGCTACGTTCCTGGAATGCGTTTCAGAATGGCCGTCATGAGATGGCTTGGGCACAATGGGTGGCAATCTTCAACTAAAAGACTTGCTAATGCTCGAGTTATTTTTACTATATATCGAGTATATGTGTTTCTTTTTATGTAGGTCTATATAATACTCTACTAAACATTTTCCTCGATGATAGGAACGAGTACTAGTGTGTGTCCGATAAACTACTTGTTGGATCACTAGCTCCTCCCCTCCTCCTTCACAATAACTAGTTCATCCCTTTAACATCCAACTTTGTTCTCTTCATTTTTTCATCATATGCGCCCAATCTAAGCACACACCGATAGAGGATGATACTGCGAATTCATAGTAGATGCATGCAATGTGTATGCGTATGCCAATTTAAGTGCACTTGTATCGTAAGTATCATATACTAATTCACCTTACGGTCCATATCATACAGAGACTTGATCCCATGACCTCTAGAATTACATTGAAGGTTAAAATTTGGCTACAATTATGTCAAGAGCGTGGATGGATGTCAGTCTATACACGAAACACGACACGAAATGATGACTGCTAGCTTTGGCTATAGTACATTAAACTACTGCATTATTTCCTGTCGTTGACAATCATGCGCTAACAAGATCCAGTAAAGTACTGCATGTCCTTATTCGTTGATAACTAAGTTTTCATGCACATAATATGTCAGTATATGCAGTAGCCCCATACTATGCTGTTTATGCTCAGTCGTAGAAGTGCGTACTAAAGATATTGACAACTCCGTATTTGGCTATAGTAGTAAATAATTATTAGCTAGGATGTTGAGTTTATTCTATACTAGAAAATGTTGGCCTCAAATTATATATTTACAAATTAAGATAAGGTCAATATAATGTAATACGAAGTATAAGTTATATTAAACCGACAACATTTGGCTTCTTGTTGGTTTGTTGTCACTTGAGCAATGAAATTTCAGCTTCATCAATTGAATATTTAGTACAACGTACTTTGTATTCCTTGTGTTTAATCATGAATTTATAAGGTACCTAACGAACGTCATGTTTGAATAATGAAATCAAGAATTGGATAGCATTTTTGTAAGAATGCTTTTAGACAATAAGAATGCATTTTGAAAATTAACTAAACTCCAAAACACAAAATAGGAAAACAATTATTATACTCCCTTTACATTTTTATTTTTTTTATAAGTTAGAGTTGGATTTGCACATTTGTCGAGACACAACTTTAACCATTAATATCTTTATTTAGAGTTTAGTAAAAATTATGAAAAAATTAATTTATAAAAGTAGACATTATGACAAATCCAACAACATATTATATGATCATATTTATATATTATATATTGCTAAAAAAATTAAGTCAATGATGATATATGAATAGTGGAAAATCTCAATTCTAGCTTATAAATAAAACGGAGGGAGTATGATGTTAGTAGAAAGAGTGTTGAAACTCGTAGTCGACGATGGTCTAACACTTCTATTTTTTAGGTACATTATTAATTTGTTACTCCATACAAAATGAAGAAAAGAGCTACTATGTATTTCTTTATAGTGATTTATAAAAAGTAAAAACAAGCCTTTGAATATTCATTAAGCAGCACTCAAAAATTATGAAGGTAAAAAGTTAAATGGTCCAACCGAATATAATTCTTCAAACCATCTGACTTGAAATCTACTCCAAGTAGCATTGTTGATAACTAGATATGACCATATGGTTGCCATAGTTAGCCTAATTCATACTCCTTCCTTAATATTTTTTTTTTCTTTTATTTGACTTTTTCAGAAGAAAAAAAAATAAAAAAATAAAAAAATAAAAAATTAACAAAACTTAAAAGAAAAGAGGATAATAGGCCAATTAGCCATATTGGTATAAAAGTTAGCACCTTTGTGACATATTGGTAGAAAAGTTATCGCCAGCGAGAGATTGGTATAAAAGTTAGCAAGTTGTGAGTCTTATGACAGATTGGTATAAAAGTTAACCAGCAGCGACATATTGGTATAAAAGTTAACATGTGATGACATATTGGTATAAAAGTTTGCTAGCGATGACGTTTGACCCTTTTTTTTGTTAGAATAATAAGCGTATGTATATTGTACAAATGATTATTCTTATTCTTGTAGCTTAAATCTATTGATTTTTTTTTTCTTCAAATATTTATTGTAAATTTCTTGGACACTATTAAAATCCAAAAAGAAAGTCAATGAATGAAAAAAAAAAAAGGAAAAAAAGGAAGAAAATTTGAGAATATAGAGAAATATTCAAGATTATGCATAAGAATTAATCAAGAAAAATTACAAGATCAAGCTTTGATTACATATTTTCAAGATTACATTGAGCTTTTTTTTTTTCCAATATTCAATTTTATATAAATATATTTGCTCCCAACTTCTTAAATATTACAACTTATTACATGCCAATTTTAACTTTTGAGACATTAAATCATAAGAATTTCTCTTTCCATTCATTTTTGAGATTTTTGTATGAACTCACAAATTTTTTTTATTTTTTTTATTATTTGTCAATAATCTTGGGTGCATGAGCATGGAGGAGAGAATTATTTGGCATAAAATGAGAATTAACAACAACAACAACAAAAAAAAAAAAAAAAAAAAAAAACTCCTTTGGCAAGAAAGGAAGGGTGAAATGTCACTACTATTTTTGTACCAATTTATCACAGTTTGTTAACTTTTATACCAATATGTCACGAAGGTGCTAACTTTTATACCAATATGGTCAATTGGCCAAAGATAATAGGGCTATAAATCTATAATTGTATAATGGCCTTTGATTTCTAACCAATAAACGAGGCCTAACTTTTCTTTGATTTGAGTATTAGGATTGGAATATATCAAACTTTAAGTAAATCTTACTAACAACAAATATTTACAGATACTAGTTTTTGGCCGGACGACACCCCGGGTCGTTAGAATATAACAATACAATTGTGAATTGTCATTAAGTATTTAGTTTTAAGGGAATTTTAAATGGGTTGAAAATATAGTAGTTTGATATAATAACAACAACAAGCAATAGCATAGACCAAACTCTATAGAAATATCTCGTGCGGTTAGTTAAAAACTAAAACTATAAGAAATAAAATGTAATACATGTAACAGAAAATAGTATTAGTGCATATAACTTATCATCTAATGGTTAGAGCATTTTCAATGGTTTACAAAAAATACCTACTTGCAAATCAAATAAAATTACAAACGTGTAGCTTCCTATTGGAGTGAAAACATTGATGTAGCTAGGTTAAGCAACCCTGCTGCTCAAACAAGCTACGTTGCTTGATTTTTCAAAGAAAACCTCATTCACTTAAATTATGACATGTGTATGATAAAAACTACTTTATGTATTTATTTAATTTAGTTTTTCAAGCTACACTATGCAATTGCTCAACATTGAAGCACTTTGTATCTTAAAAATATATGAGCTTAAAATTTAGATGTATCAAGATAAGTTATAAAATATTGTAGCTTACCATTGGAGATGCTCTTGTAGCTAGGAACTTGCTTGCAATTTTAATAGTCCATCTAATGGCAAATTATTTATGTATGTTTTAAATAAAAAGTTTTGTTTGGGTCCGATTCACTCCAATTGGGCCAGTCCACAAATAATCCAATTGTAAGCCCAAAGAAGGTTCAACCCTTAAAATGCATGCCAAGTTAGTCTAAAGCCCAGTCAATGTGGCAAGCCCATTTAGCTTTAAGGCCCACTTATTCTATTTGAGCAAGGTATAAAGCCTTCACTTCTCTCTCCCTACATTCATTCACAATTAGCCTCAAGCAATTAATTCTCTTGCATAGCTTTCTCTCTCTAGAAAACACTGTACTGACTTCGACATCAGAGGGGCCTTCCTCGGCACAACCCCCAAGACCAGTTTATGTGTGTTTGCTGTGCAAGAAACCCTCGTCCCAGTCATCACTTGAGCCGAGTCCAGTCTTCAACCCACAAGAAAGGTCCAGACGAAGGACCCATTGTTTTCACCTGAAACAATTTGGCGCCGTCTGTGGGGAAGACATTCAAAAAAACAAGCCAAAAAATCAATCATCTTAGCAACATGATTAAGAGTGCCAAGAGTGCCAAGAAGAACGACCCTTGTTCCTCGAAGAAAGACCCAACTTCCTCGAAGATAATTCCATCTTATCCCTCAAAGAAGGTTCCACCTTCCTCATCTTCGAAGGCTACCTCATCTGAGAAAGCCACGCCGAAGAGATCACCTCACAACTCTGGTCAGCCGTCTAACTCTTGGCGGCCGAGCCAGTTAAATGCTAAGAGTCCAACTC